ATGCTACCAGTCTTTTAGACACAAACTCTTCAAACCTGTTGGTACCTTTGGCATCTCTGAGGAGAATATCTTCTTTGGCAGTTTCTGGAACTTCCATATTTGATGCCACATTCATAAGCTTTATTGTCTTACACGGAAAGAGGTTTCCTCACAGTGTTTGATAATGCCCTCTTTGATTGTGACTGAATTGTTAAACATGCGAAGTGATACTGAACCACTCAGTTGATAATGTTGCTTGGTTTTTGCATCGTCACCATCAGTGCAATAACCCTCTTAGAATTGTTGAATAATTAGCTCAGGGCAATTAAGAAGAATCTATCAAGTGCATCTTCATTTTGTGTAATTCCAGTAATTCCTCCAGCAACTTTGAGTTCTCTGAAAAGTTGCTCCAGTGTCTGATCAACAAACAGATTTGTGATTGGGATACTCAATTTAATCACCATAACATCGCCACTTTTCAGAGCATTTCAGCTTTCTTGATCAGTGCTCTTAAGTAACTTCATTTGTGCAAGATATACTGGCACAAGTCGGGCATACTTGTAGAGATCATGAGCAAAGTAGTACTTGACTTGCTCCTCAAGAGCACAAAGATGAAGCTCCCACTCTCCATGTCTGCTTGCTCGAATCAAGTGAAGTAAACTCTCAATCTGCTTCATATAACTCTCGAGAAATTGTGCCATCTCCCCAAGGTCTTGGTAAAGTGTATAATAGAACTGGTCTCTGAAGATAGCATATACTTCTTTGAAAATGTCTGTAATGTCACTATGTCTCATATGAAGCTTATCGCGACGTTGTTGGCTTTTCACGGTCATGGTTTCTAAGTTATGTTGCCATGCCATGATATTCGTGATGTGATACTCTACACCCCGCTTAAACCACTTTCCAGTGAAAATTTGGCGAATTGTCGACTAAAAATAAAGACCTGCTTCAATGCTGATGGAATCAAAGCCACTGCCTTCAAGATACTTTGCTGTGGCGTGACGTGAAGCAAAACAAGCATGAAGCTCGCCAACTCTCAAAACCCAGTTGGTATTCCCTGTAGAAGACTATAGTTTCAATGCTCTCTCATATAGTCAAGATCAAGTGTTATTACAGTTTTGTGATGGGGACCCACAACAAAAGCTGATATCCCTTGGGCAAGACAAGGAACTGTATAAAGAGCACTATAATCAGTTCGAGACCTCCTTAACAATAGGGCAATAATTGCACTCTTTGTCTTTTGTTGACCCTGTTGCTGTTGCTGAATCAATAAGGAGTTTGTAGCAACCCAAGTTGGCATGATTTCCGATTTCACAATATTAACAGAAGATTGTGTTACATGCTGCCCTGGAGATTGCTCGCAACGATTACCAATACCAGTGCCATCATGCAACCCATCTCTATGATCAAAGGATATCATAAACCAAGCTTCGCCAACACTTGTATGTTCGTAGAGACGTTTTGGTCATAGAGAAAGAAGATCTGGTGTTCATGGTGTTGTTTTCTAGCCCCAAATATCTGAAATATAATACTCGTTGCTTCAACGATGTTACATTTTGATCACATGTGGAAAATGTGAAGGGTTTACGACATGAAGGCTGTATGAAGGTGGTCTTTCATAAATAAATGCAGTGTATTGTAAACATATCGACAATATCCTGGTGGCCTTGATAGGTTCTGCCTATATAGGAAAGGTGTGTATCATCACTCTCATAAAATACAATTCACAATATGTTACCCACAAAAGTACAAACTTACACGCAATATTCAGATAATTGTAGTGTGTATTTATTAAAAAAATCTTAATTATTACCTTAATAGTGGTTTTAACAATCTTGGTAATGTGACTCGTTTTTTTTGGTATGTGTGTAATAATGAACACCACATATCGTTTGACATTTAAATGATCCTTCTAATGCCCGTTTTTCACACGAACCTCCACCATAATTACAATAGCTCGGTTGTTCTATGTGCTGTGGTTGATGTTGTGGGTTTAAACCCCTGCCTTAGCCATCTGTTTCAATGGTTGAAGACTACACAGTTATAGCAATATGTTACATCTTTGTTGCTGAGACAAGGGGAAGCAGTTTGAGTAATTTGTGTTTGGGTTTTGTCGTATTATCGTGGTACAAGTCGCCACTTGAAGCAGTATCAATTTTCATATCACATTGTTTTAAGTGGAACATTTATATGTATTGTATGACAATATGTATAATGAAAACAATTACGGGTATACCTGACTGAGAGCACATAATGTATAACAGTATATGACAGACTACTTTACAGGGAACTCACGAATGAATGTATGGCAACCAATGACATTTCACTTGAGTACGGCATTATATCCCACACACGCTTATGGGGGACATGCTGTTCTGTGGCATTATGGTAACACAAGGTGACTCTTTCATATGGAACTACAAAGTGCTACAAAAATAAATATTATTAAAATAGTAAGTCATAATGATATAATTTGACATGAACACTAAACTACCTACAAAACACGTGTTTAGTGAAATTTTGAATGGCGACATGTTTGACTTACTTATTCATAACGTTCAAATGAAATTATTGTTCCTCGATCATGAATCTCGTAAATACGTATATTATTTAACATATAGCATTTTAAAAACTATTCTCTGAAAATAATTAAACTGATTTCGTCTGTGTTGAGCAAATACATTTCATCTCCATTATTGCAACACTCATTGCGCATGTCATATAATATTTGCCTTATAATTTCAGGTTTGCAATGCTCACGAGATTTGTACACGTGTGTAATGAAATCTATTATGTGTGACCCGGTCTGTGATTTTTCATTGAAACATTCTGTTACGTCAACCCACAGTTCCCTTCTTTCCGTTTGATAGTTGACATTCGGACGATTACGCTTGAATATATCTTCAATGGTATGTACACCAATGAAGTTACAATCCGGGTCTAGATAGTACTTTCCAACTTTAGCGCATAACTTCTCCCATCCACCTAAAGCAAATCAAAATAGAGCATTTATTAGAATAAATGACGACGAAGTTTATTTACACTAATTGTTGTGCTTTAATTAAATATAGAACATTGAGTCGGTTGAAGAAAAAGAAAAACAACAACATTAATTGCCCTAGAAATACATACCACCAGTGATTTTAAAAAACATCATGCCCCCTTTCAACAGAGAGCTATATAGTTCCATCGTAGTGGTCTCCAGATTGTTCCAATAATAAACAGAATGTGACGCAACAATCATACCAAATTGCCTTGTACCATTCACCTCCAAGTACTGTTCAATCGTAATATCTTGGAAGTCAAATATAACGTTGTACCATTCTTCAGCCTTAGTTTTCACCAAATCTTTGAACTTTAAAAGTTCATTCGCAGCAGGGTCAACAGCTATGTACATGATATTTGAGTATTGAGTTAGTAAGTTGTCTATGATTGGCTCGTCGATTTTTCCTACAAGAAAATGAATGTATAACTAACAAAATATTGTGTTCATGTGCAACACAATTAATTTTTTGTGTAAGATAAGTATAACGTTAATTAGGATGTCAGTTTTGTGATTCAAAATACTGAAAAGTGATTTCTGTAATAATGTGAATATTTATGTTCATTATATACAATAGTGCACTCAAAACTATGGGTATGTCTATCTGATTCAAGGATAAAATGTACCTTTCTTGCACTTTTTGAAAAATACATATTAATTTTATCCTGTCAGAGAATATATTTTTATATTGTAAATATTATTTGTAAGGAGTTTATGTGCATGTTAATGTTATACTTATAAGACGGTGAAAACAAGGAATTTCTCCATATAGTGTATGTAATATTCATAACTTTTGACTGGATTTGGATTAAAATTAATAGATGATATCAGTGCTATTTGAAAATTGTAAATGGAATTCTTGCAAAAACAGGGTAATAATGGAAATATTTAATTTCCAGGTATTCAACATGAAATACAATTTGAAATAGCTTTAACACCAATGTTCAATTGCTTAAAACCACAATGTGTTTTTTTTAAACGGTGTCTGCATTTTCCGATATCCTAAACATAAGAATGTAAAACATAGATTAAAGTGTAATTCGTGCAAAATATCTAAAGCAAAACAAAACATGTTTGTGTATTTACCATGTTCACAACAATCCCCAATAAGTGCTTTAATTACACCGACAAACACTACTGATTTGATTGATAATACGCACGTCTTTCATAAATATAGTAAATGTGGTTTAAATTAAACCAGTGTAGACTATCCCATCAATTTACACTATACATTACGATTAAGGATTATTACACTACTATATATATATATATATATATATATATATATATATATATATATATCTAGCTATGTTACATATGGTTTGACCCCTTAACGTCATCAACCGATCAATCAAAACACAAATCAAATCACTGAGCATGTTCAGAATAAATCTAAATTATTATTTATTTCGCTCTATAATAATAGTAAGTGTGTCTTTAAATTTAGTTTTCAACTTTTTTTGTCGATTGGAATTTCAATTTAAGTCTGATAATTTTACCAAGGACGTTTATAGTTTGATTCGGGGAAGTGGCCATTGAGTGAGTTTTATTTGTATCGATAGAACGCACAGATCTATACATTGCACAAAGTTAACTTTTCATCGTCTATAATAATGAACAAAATACCAACATTATTCGTCGTGCGCTAGATGCCTCGCGTCTCGTACGATATTTCGTTTACAATGCCCAAACCCAATATTATTGTGAACACCCTCATAATATAATACATGAGTATGTGCAACTAATCACTACTTCGTCGTGTCTGTGATATATAATGTGGAATACTCTTTTAATCCGGGTGATAATATTTAATCTGTTCAATCAATATTTACAACAACATACCATTCCCACATCCAACTGTCAACACGTACAGTGTCTTGTTTGCGTCTAACTTGAGTTTAGAAACAATCGTCTTGGCATTATTAGCCCATTGTTCGTCATCGATATCATATCCCGACTTTTTTAATTCTTCATAACATTCATGGTAGTATATTGGGTAGTCCATGATGGTTCTCGCTCCTTCTTTCATAGCTAGCATGGCTAAATGACCAGTTTGTTGAATAATGAGCAGACGACAGCAGAGAGCTACACTTAAAATACAACAGAAATGTAATGAAAAAATGTTATGACTGTTATTTTGTAAATCATACTTCAAGCAAAAATGTACCGGAGTAGAGCTGACAGGTTGCAGAATCATTTATTAAATTATGCATATATTTCTTGGAGACGGATATGTACATAATTAATGAAGTAAAAGAAGGATGTTGTAATAATTTTGAACCCTATTTTTGTGCTATTTTTACAAATTCTGCATTGAAAGAACTAAAAATATAATTGTTTTTATTATGCTCGTTGTGAAAATTACGCTTGTAATTCACAGGGCGTCAGTGGATGATATCACCATGACAAGGAATAAAGAAACAGCTTAATATTTTCGAAAGTCTGCTTGGCTGCCAACATTCAGTTGGTACATTGCACATTGGTACAATGTTACTGCGGCCAACAATAAGTACTTCTCTCATGATAGCAAGAAGTGGTAGCAGAAGTTCCTTGAATTTTGAAACGCTTTCATGTAAATTGGCAGCCCCAAAACTATTTGGACATCAGTGGGACGATAATCTACAATACCATCAACATGTTGCAATTTTTTCTGAGGCAGACTGGACAGTTGACCCAGGCAAAGTCATTGGTTACTGACAAGGCGAACAATCCAGTAGACTTCCATGACTTTCTGACATTCTGTGTGGAGCTATTGGTGATGGTTCCAAGCTCCAATAAGACCTAGTGAAAGGTCGTGGTAATTTTACATCTCACTCAGACTATAGATCCATTACTCATTGAGATGACATCATGTAAACAATAATAGTTCCTTAGCAATGTGGCAGACACCATAGATGCCATGATGAGCTTTCAACAGCCATAAAATATCACCTACGATGTCATACAGTATGACATAGTGAACTACCTTATTTTTGATTTGATAGCTTCTTTATTTATCAGGGCTTCAGGAATGTAGCTCACCCATATTTTAGGTACTTTAAACCCCTTTTCTCAGTTTCGCCAAAATGTTGGGGTGAATTCACTATGAATGGCATGGCTTAATAAAACATCTGAAGCTCATGGAAGTTTAGTGTCAAGTTAGGAGAGCTCTGCATGTCCAATGTCGGTGATGGTATCCACCACCAGCATAAGAACAATATGAGGCCTTGCAACTTTAGTGCCTCAGTAGCCTGTTGAGCTTTAATTTTCCCTAGATCTCCATTCTTTTTTTGTAGGGCAGTGCCTGCTTCAGAGAACAGTTGCTCTTTTTTGCGAGGGCCTAACCAGCCAATCCCAACTGTGTATGATTGGACTGGTAGCCTCACGAAATTGTACATACTGTGCAATGGTTGGATCTAAGCTTGAACTGTAGGATGTAGTGAACCTTCCGATTAAATCCATCACGCTTTCTCTGGATGACTTTGCTGAGCTGCCTGGACTCCAAAAACACATTTCTGGAAGACAGGTCACCCATTCAGAAAAATATACTCAATATGTGATACCACAAAATGGACAAAGTTAAATATGAACCATAATGTTTTGTTTTTGGCTTTCTTTAGAATGGTGGACAAGAAAAAGCACTGGGGACTGATGAAAGATACTTTGGAACAAAATGGCCACACGTCAAAAAAGACAATTTTAGCCTTCTGGCTCTGACAAATCTATCCCATTATATGCAGCTAGGTAGAACTTTACAGATTGCCAGAACCTTTTAACTCTTCAGATCTTCAAGACTTTCAGAATAGGGTCTTTTGCTCCATGGTCATGTACAGCCTTTTCATAATATTGTGTTTTTCTGGAGTCAATTGTGTGGTATTTTACTAGGCAGCTTGTCCTGGTGACTTGTGTAAACTCTGGTTATTGAGCCAGTCCAGGTATATCTTAAGAATGGACCAGGGAATGGCGCTGACCTCATCCCAGATACAAACCTATGGAATAACACTTTCAGGTCAGCTGCTGTTGAGTTAGGGGCCATCTTATAACAGTGGAGTTGATTTAGTCATGTGTTTGGCAGGCAGTATGTACAGTTGTACATCTTTGTCATAGGATAACATTATCTATAAGTTGACTTACAATTATTCCATTCTACAGTCATAGTTTAAGAACAATATTTATTCATCCCGATAGCTTTTATGGCAGTGTTTTTGAACATAGATGCTACATATGAGTGAGTGTACTAAGTTTGTGAGCCATCATAGTATGTGATGATGTGGCCTAGATGACACATTATAGAAACATTAACCAACGTGAAAGCTGCAGCCTTGGTCATGTTACTCCAATAGACAGTTTACTGTCTAAAGCATATAATTGCCTAGCAGACCCTGAGATTTTTGAAGGAGACTCAAGCAAGAATTCCATTCCTGAACTTCTGCAAAGCTGTTGCTGTTGGATTGGATTGTGATAGTGACTCACGCCATGTGGTGAGTGGGGGTGCCTAAAACTCTCAAAATACGGCTAAACCTCACTTCTTCTTTAAAATGCTACTTGTGAAATGCTTGTTAATCTATCAATGGTTTGTATCCTCGGGGGCGGACATCCGGGCATTTTCTTCCGCCTGGCAACCCTCGCGGTGAAAACAAAGACCAAAAACTCGCAGAAAACGGTACTTTGCGATGGTTGTTGAGAGTCCCCTGAACAGTGTAACAAGATTAGCCCTACGTGTGTAACATATATAAATTTGGCTGTTCGGGATTACTTCAAAGTTGAGTTTGTGTTGTTTTCTCGAATTTTCACCGGCTCCACCGTCGTTCCACAGCAGCGCGCACAAAGCCCATAGAAATACGTGGTACAGTGGTGCGCGTCTTAGCAACGTAGAACGTCCGTGACGTAGCTCCGCTCCCGAGGATATCTGAGCATATCTAATATCAGCGTTCAATTTGCTGCATAATTTACACATGGTAGCTGGACTGTGATGATTTGGGTTCCAGTTCATTGCAATTAAAGTCAAGCTTTTTTAGAAGTTACCTCCGATTCCTGAGCGGTAAATGGCGGCAAACAAAGCGTTATTAAATGCATGGAAGCTCAGAAACTAAATATGGGTCAATGATTTATGGGCGGAACATAGCACGAAAATGGAAGGCAATTTGGGAGTTACCTTATAAGGTAACAGGTGAAGAAAAAATGAGAATTTTTCAGTTCAAAATTTTGCATAGAATTGTAACAACAAATTTATTCTTATACAAAA